ATACATAACTTGAGCTTCATAGTAGTACTTAGTGAAGATTAAAAAAGTTGGGAATGATCAACTCTCGCAAGATTTTTCTAAGGTTAAGAATTGCATCATTCTATGACAAAAACATAAACAATCCTGCTTTGGACATTACCTAGTTTGGGCAGTGTAACTCATATAATTCTACGTTTTTATGTACCAGATTTTGATTTCACTGCCCACAGGTCAGCCCTCAATTCACCACCCACCACTCAACAATCCTTTCTCCCACTCTTTCATTCATTCATTCCTTTGTTCATTCTCCTGAGCATTCAACAAACATTTATCGAGAGCTGCTATGTTCCTGGAGCTGTACTAGGTGTTGGGTTGCAGCTGTGGCTAAGTCACGGGCCTCTCCTACAAGGAGCTCAGTCTAGTTGGAGAAACAACCAAGCACAGGGTAAACAAATACATCATAGTGCAATGTGATAAATGTATTAATAGCAAAAGAAGTTTATACAGAGTATAAAAGTGTAGGGACAGTAGGCTAGGAATTATACGTGAAAAGTTGAGGACATTGCATCCAAACTAGGTTTTGAAAGCTGGGAAGTGGAGTGCTCCATCTGTAAGAGGAGTACCGGCCCCCAAACAAGAACGGCCAGTACAAAGTCTGAGAGATACAAAGTGACATGATGTTTTGGAACTAAAGAAAATCTGATACCGCTAGATAGACACTAGTTAGACAGTAGTTAGACAGAAATCCCGATTTCTCCCCTTTTCACAAGGTAGGTAAAATTTGCTAAGTTTTCTGAAATTTGACATCGACCTCATTCTCCAAGATTCCCAAAATAATCCCGGCAGTAAAATCTTGAACTGTCTTAGAAAGTATTAATAATTACTGTGGCATGAAGACCTTTCCATCTGGGTGCTATTTTTCTCCTTTCAGAGTTCCTGTCTCCTGCCCCCTGCTCTAGCTGCCATCCAGCAGAAAGCCACCGTGGCTGTGCTGGCCATCGTCCCGCTGTGTCCCAGGTGTGTGTTTTGTGGAGTTCAGCTCACAGCTAACTCGTTCCTGACAAGAGCTGAGCACCTAGCAGGAGGTCCATCTGATGCATTTTCTACAGAGAAGTGGGTGGTCATTTAAGGTAGAAACCACCTCTTTCCTTGTTAGTCTGACTTATTTCATTGAACAGAAGGGGCTACGTATGTCACAGACTCGCTGCATCTTCAAAACCATTTATTCACAATTTCATGAGCTAGAAATCTTATCGCATCTGTTTTTACTGCTAGAAAGAGATGAACT